CTAGATTAGGTAAAACTACACTGAGCTAAGCAAATTGAGTTTTATGTTAAATGGTTAAGTCATCTAAATGGTTTAACTCTTTCTGTCCCAGACAGTTACTATGAGAGGGCTCCAAATTATAACTTAAAAGTACGATAGAAATTGCAAAAATCATTTAATCAGTCCATTGTCTAATATAGACCGTAGGAGTGACCAGATGAGAAAACATCAGGAATGAGGTCATATGAGATCAAGTCGGCAGAACCAATTCTAAATTACATACAAAGACAGCAAATCAAATGGTTTGCCTACTTGGAGAGAATGCCTCCTGATACTATACCATACATGGCAGATACCAAAAGAGGAGAAGGACATAGAGCAAGAGGCAGATCAAGAACAATATGGGAAGATAACATCAGAGAAACTCTACAACACCATGATGTGTCCATGGTTGAAGCAGCCAGAAGAGCTCGTAGCAGGACCTTATATCTCCCTTGACACCCAAAGCAGTAAAAAAGGACCTAAAGAAGAAGAAGAAGACTGTCTTTTAGCCTGTCAATATTGTTGATGAGGATATCAACAGTGTTAAGTATACAACATCATAGTACAGATGAACACTGGTGACACCATAATGAGAGTTTGTTTGTTTGTTTTAGTATCCAGAAGCGATGAGTTGTTAACCCTTAGGCTCGGTATTATGGATATCGCAACATTTCGGCTTTGATTCCATTGTAAATACCGTAAATATGGGAGAAATGTGGCTTTTCTGCCTACCCCCGGGAGTGAACCCGGACCACAAGGAGTTCGTCACCCGGTCACAGCGCAATCCAATTTAGCCAACTACGCTAGAGAACCGGGCTAATGGAGAGTTTAAAGATGGCTACCCCACTTTTGGCATGTGTCATTGAGCAGCAGCATTCTGTTATTCATTTTTCGATTCATATGAAGGTGCGAAACCTACAGAAATTCATCAGTGAATGAAGGTCCAATATAGTAATGCATGCCAGCAAGTGTATGAGCTGAGTAGGAAGTATCAAAATGGCGACAGACCGGGTCATGCACACAGCAATTTAACTCAAAATTTGTTTCATCATAGCAATTTAAAGGTGCTTGGTTTTATAACACATGGCTCAGCCTCTATCTTCAGAGAGGCTAGTCACCAACCAAAACATTACATATTGGTCTGCCCCGAGGTCTACTCCCATTCAATGCTTTTGTGTATGCAGTTTTTGTTTGTTATCTGCCTCCTCTCTATGTGCCCCGTCGAAGTCCTCCCCTCGTGGGATGCAATTTTTTGATATTTTAGAGCCCCACCCTGGCTTTTCCTAGGGGTCTGGAATATAGCCAGGCCATAAATATGGCCTAGACATAGATATGGCCTAACGGCTGAAAGGTGTTTCTGGGACCTCCCAACCAGTGATCGTCATCCGCATGGTGGCACTTTGTGTCGCCAGGTGTTTATCGCTTGTGTGACGTCCTGGTGGTGTACAACTACCTACCTACCTACCAATGCAGTCTACTAGCACTCGCCATCCTAGTACAAGTAAAATAAAGGACTATTTGCCACGCCTTCAAGCATACTGGACCTACAGGGCTAGACCTATATTTTATAGACCAATCTGCACTCAGTGGGTGATAGGGTCAACATCATGCTGGCCACCTTTCCTTCCTTGGGCCGTACCTGGTACCCACTCAAGGCTTGGCTTACCTGGTAGACTGTCATTTTTGAAAAAAAAATATGTGGCTCTGTCATGATCCGATCCCACAACCTTCTGATCCACAGCCGCTAATAGTGGCTCCCAATGATCCTAGTAAATTATTAATTTTAGTGTGCTTACAAACCAGACAGCAGTGTCTGAAACTGAAACCATGATCTTCAAAGCCAGAGACAAATAGCTGAACATTTTCATTACATTATGTGTAAGTTAAGTGAACTTGGTGATCTGCAAATCTCCATAGTTTCAGGCTTGGACATTTGATCTGTATTCCCTCCCCCTCTTTGTGTGTGTGTCCTCCTCACTATATGTATTGCATTTACTGTACAGTTTTTCTTTGCTATCATGTAGTAGACTCAGATCACCAGTGAAGAGTAAATCATTCAATGAGTGTCTTCTTCTGCTACCCTTTATTTTCTGTTGCAGCATACACCCTCAACTACCTCATGCCTTGTCACAATATATTTATCTATCTCCTGCAGCTCTTTTCATCTTTTTCCCAATACACTTCATTCTTTTTTTATTATCTCTTACACATGTGATTGAAGGTCTTCCTCTATATTCAATAAGTTTTAAAACAAGTGTAAGTTATAAGAACACAAAAAGTATTTATGTCGTGATTCATAAATTATAAATGTAAGTAGAAGCGACAGGATCAGAATTGATGATATCAGGAAAGAAGTTTGGACAGAACCAGTAAATGGTTTGTCATGTGTCGAGAGCTCCACCACACAGTGCACCATAGATAGCCCTGTCCCTCTGACATAATGCAATCAGATCTACAGGCCAACCAGGCAAGGAATGGATAGATGGAAAATCCAAGGCTGTAAACACCAGCATCTACATAGCACATACCAAGGCTCGCACCCAATGCCTATTCAAAACCTGACACTGAAAGGCAGAACAAGACTAGAGAAGAAGAAGAAGAAAAAGATTCACAAATATTTAGGGACCATCAGAGTTAAAACAGAAAGTAATGGAGGATTAAACTTCAAACCTAGGTGACTTGTCTTAGAAGATTGTTAAATCTCAACTGGACAGATTTTAGATCCAAAACGCAAAAAAGACAAGAGACCAAGCAAGAAAATGTATCCAAATTTATGAGAAAGCGCAGCTGGAACTACATGGGCCACGCACTCAGAATGGATAAGACCAGACTCCCCCCATCAAGCACTTAAATGGATACTGGAAGGGAAAAGGAAATGGGGAAGACCAAGAGAGACCCTGCATAGAACCATCAGTAGAGAAGGCTCAACCATGGGCCTAATAAACCTCCAGAACCTATACAAGTGGCAACCAACAGCCAGACATGGAGAGCTATGATCTCTGCCCTATGTGCCAACCTAGGCTCAAGAGGAAAGGCTGACTAACTAACTATGGGACAAAAAAACTGCACAACAGAATGATTAAAATAGACATCCTAATAAAATAATGTTTCAGTAATTAATTATGAGTATATTTGCTTTTTACAATACACTGATATGTACCTCTTTGTTTCTTTCTCTAGCTTCTTCTAGCATCTTCTTCAATCGCTTTACATCCTCTTGTAGTTGTTTGTTCTCATCCTGCAGCTGTGTCCGATGATTAGAAACAATTTTACACTTTAAAAAAAATTATTATAAACAAAACATGTATTCCCCGTCTGGGTTCTGGGGGGGGGGGGGGGGGGGGGGGGTAAAACACACTGCCCCCGACAAGCATGTCAAACAAAGCATCTAATTAGGGCTGTTTTCTTCTAAGTTGGAATGCAGCTGCAGAAAAGCAAGGAACCAACAGTCTGCACAGAAATAACCTAGATCTGTCAAATGAATGCTCATGTAAAGCTCAAGCTCTGGAATAAGACTAAAGTCAAGTAGAAGAACACCCAGAACTTTCCGCTGGACTTTACAGCTGGTGAATGCTAAGAAGGCGAAGAAGGAAAAAACATGAATAATTTATGAATGTTAAAAAGCAAACAGGAAAAAGAGAATGAACATGTTTTTATAAGTATGCTTTTAGATGATGTTCATAACATTTATTCATCGTCCGAATTTCAAATTAAAAGACAAATTCAAAAACAATATAACCACAGAGCTTAACAATCAAACAGGACAAAGGAGATGCTTTACAGCCTTTTGTCAGGGCATGGAGGAGTGTCAGCTGTTGGAAATCGTAGACTAAAGACAGGTATGATCACAAAGAATGAGTGACTGGCCGAACGGTTAGAACGAACGCTAGGCCCTCAAGGGGGAGACCAGGGTTTGAATCCTTAGTGAGGCTGGGGATTTTTTTCTGTCAGGGCCAAAATAAAATCCTCACCTGCAGTTGTGGCGACAGCACTAGCCATGCGGCCATAAATCCTCGGGCTCAAAGATCCCCTGCCTACACCGCAAAAGTGGTATTATAAAGGCAGTAATTGGCAGTTTATTATCGCAAAGGCTGGTCAGACTCCTTTCACCTCTTTAGAGAGGGACAATGTGTCATATTTAGACAAAGGAGAGAGCACAGCCGACATATGTTTCAGTTTTATGGTGTAGGAAACCCAAAGATGTGTCCCTGAAATTTGGCAGCAGAATATGAAAATGCTAAGCACGCAAATCAACACTGTCAACTGTATGCTGCTAACAGAGAAGCAATCTGGCCTGTTTCAGCCTCAATGAAGACAATGCTGTATGGTACCTGGTAACATATGGTCTCTACAACAGTTTTCATCGAGGCCACCAGCGTCCTGATACATATTTTCTGACAGAAAGATCAAAAAAGAACAAGGAGAAAAGAAACATTAAAAAGAAAACATTTTGGCCAGCAAATATACACACAAACTCAGTAGCAGCTCAAAGTCTTTTTACAAATTTAAACAGCTCATAGCATAAATACTGACCAATCGGATGTCCTCGGCTTGATCTTTCTTTGAAGCTGTGTCAACTTTCTTCAGTTTCTCCTTCAGTGTTTGTATTTCTGCATCAGCCTTTTGATTGAAACACAGATTTACATAATGATTATCATTTTCAGAAAATAAGTAAATTAACATATGAAGTCAAAAACCATACTCAAAATCTACTAAGAGTTAGACATACTTCTGGTCAATATGGTGGATAGGTGAGTTTACTGTTTTTAGTCATGGTAAGTTTTTGCTTCTAACAATAGTCAGCCACTGCATTTTTCTCTATATGTTCACTGATAGAATGTAGTTCCTTCAGCTACTAAGCAGAGTGAATGGCGCGACACTGTGAGCTGAGGATTTAATTTGAAATACTTTTCAATGGTACCCAATGTGGTTTTGTGTTGTGAACTGTAGATTAAGAAAACTGTCTGTTGCCAGAGAAC